AAAAAACAAAATATAAAAGCAAGATCCTTTGAGGATATTAATTTCACTCACAGATGGTGGTGTGGGTTTGACTGATCTGTAGCACCCAACATATACAGTCAAGCAAGCTGACAATATTACATTTATATTTGGATTTACCTTAATGAAAAGTGGTGCCAAAGTCAGACCTGTAGAATAATAAGCATGAGTCAACATAGGCTCCTATTACCTAATCAAGCTTAACAAATTTTTTTCAAGTTGAGCATGTCATTCTAAATTTGTTGTGGAACAAGAAACTATAGCCACTGAAAATCCTAAAATAGGAAACAGATTTCCAGAAAAGAGCTTCATTCTGAGAACAAATTCATGCAAGTGCTGCTACATAATCTACAGTTATTCAAATTCTGACTCATGCATTAACATGAAAATTGGAAAGTTCAGAGATGTTTTGCTAGGGACATCCATATAACCTGCCTATTGAATCAAATAATACAAAATTTGCATATTCAACATAGTAAAATAGTTTTGCAGACTGGAAAAAGCTCATTCGCTCTAAATATTAAAATCAAATATAATTGAACGCCATAATTATTGTTCTTCAAAAGTTGCAAATTTTACCTAAAAGAGCGACATTTGCTGCACGCTCATGGTTCTTCATTGTCAGGGATTGATGTGTAACAAAACCAAACTAAATAATAAAGTTATATTGTGACAATACTGCATCAGCTGATTGAAACTTTTATTATTGTAAGGATTTCAACTTCCTTTCACTGTTTCAAGCAGGATCAGGGACTACGGCCCTCCTCCCACCTAAAGCCCTGCAAGCCAGAATCAAATAGACAGACATTAACAAAACTATAAACATAAGAAACCAACAAGCGTATCCCACTGAATGCAGATCAACAAGCATAAAAAATTTGATAATTGTCAGTATGCGGGAACAGATAAAACAATTCGAGATTAATAGAACAAACTAGATCCCCTCCAACATTATCGCCCAGCATAAGAAACGATAGCGAGCAAATATGACATCGGAGCGCGAGTAATTGATCGAAATGGTAAATAAGAAAAACGAATCTAAATAACTAGGGGTAAATAGGAGAAAACATCAAAATTTCTCGTACAAAAAATATGAAAGTTTTAACTTTTGATCAAGCCAAAGACAACCGCATTCATCCTCAAAATGATCCGTCGATCACACCCCCTAACCCCTAATCGTCTCGCATTTAACCTTGATCCCGATCTATCACCCACGTCAGTAAGGAATGAATAAAACCCTAGATCAGTTACTAGAGCGGCAGCGAAAAGGGGGCAGTAAGAAATCAAGGAAGAGTGAGAACCCCGAGGATTCGGCGGCGATAAAGAATGTCGGGAT